AAAGAACGAAAAAAAAAAAAATACAAAAAAAAAAAACCATAAAAGAAAGATTAAGAAAACAAAGCGCCCAAGATTCCTCATTGAAACGCCGGCTAGTTTAAAAATCGGTTGTTGTATAGCTCTTTAACACGTCCATATTTGTTTCGATCATCAGGTTTTTATCAGTTGCATGACAAAGAAATACTGCACCTCGGAAATGTGCCAACGTGAAGCCAATTTAGCCTGCAATAGGAAGAAGCACATCATACCTATGTTGTTTGAAAAATTTGATTCTTGGCCGCCACAAGGCAGCCTTGGTATGGTCTTTCCCGATACTCTTTACCTCAGGCTACCAGGTGGCATCCTCACCAACGAAAAGTTCGAAGAACTTTTGAAGAAAATTATGGAGTTTGTTCCACCCCAGAACGAATAATGCTTTGCATTACAAGGAAGACACCAAAAGAAAGATGTGATTGATGACTTTGCTAATCTGTAGCACTCTACGTCTTTTGGATTAGTTTTTTTTTTCCAATATTTACCTCAATTGCAACTGCTTTTTTGCCTTCTTTTAATCAAAGATATGAACTTAAATTTAACCCAATCTGCAAGGTTTTCAAGCGATGTTTGCGAGAAAGCGATAAGTGATTAAGCAGCGAAAAGACGGCTCTAAATCCATGGCAGCTTCGTCGTTCGTCGACCACATCACGATCTGTGTATTTGCCCATAGAAATTCTGTCTGCACGTCACGGCGTTTGTTTCCAAGGTTATATTTGGATTGGAGCCTTGCGATTCCTGAGGCCTCCCAAAAATGTTTTCTTGCGAAAGAACACTTCAGGATGAAGGACAAAAATTAGGCCCTGAGTAAACAAACACGTTTTCATGTCTCTGTTTCCGTATAGGCGAAAACTTGGCAAGATATATCTGCCCGCACCAACGCTTTCGCAGCATCTTCACTAATCCACATTAAAACGGTCGAAAACGTTAAAATAGGATGGACCTGGAATTCCGCATACGTAAGAGCAGTTACATCCGTTAATTTTTTTCATCACCCTTTTTAAAAGCCTTCGTTTTCACTCGCCCACACCAAAACGGAGGGTTTTAAAAACGATGCATATTCAAAAGATTCCACACAAGTAACCGTTTTCGAGAGTTTCTTTTTTCATCAACGTTTTGGGGCGTTTTGATATGGATGACCGTAGAAAACGAAACAAAAAGGTTGCGTTTTCAAACGAAAACGCAGTAGTTTGGTAGGAGGCTCAGCTACAATGACAGTTTTGAGCAGTTTGGGAACTAGAACTAAAGAATTAAATCACTTATCAAGTTTTTCTTACTGTATATCACAGATGGCTTAATCACTAAAGTATCAAATTCAATGTGCTACATCAGTTTAGAAATAATCACGATACTTCGATAGCCAACTTGTTTTTTGTCTGTACGAAAGAAAATAGTTTGCTTCAGTTGAGAAAACAATTGTGGATAAGTGCAATAGAAGGGGATCCGTTTGATAATTAAACGATTTTTTTAATAATTTCTTGCAAATATATCTTTTACGTATTTCCCCGATATCTTACCGCCCCCCCTCCCTTAATCTGTTGTGGCTGTTGCTTAACTTGTTTGTTATGTGCCATGTTTTTTACGTGTTCCTTAGATTCAAATCCAAACCAAACCAAACCAAACCAAACAAAGGTAAAGATTGTCGATCGAAATCGCAGTGCGCCAACTTTTACCGGACTGAGCATTAACTTCTACTTTGATATCCAGGTTCTTTAAAGAGTGACTAAGGGTCTGCAAGTTCAAGTTATTACAAATCAGCCTGCTGATTATCACCATTATCACAATGCTTAGCTGTAATTACCGTGCATGTTATTCCCATAGCAACAACCACATGAGTCAAGTGAAGCAATGTTCCACTAAGGTTGTTACTTTACTTGATTTTCAATCTGCAGCTCAAATGGAATTTATTTAATTAAAAATTGTAAACAAAGGTGTGGGCTTAAACAGTTTCGCCGCCTTCTACTTATAAATTTTTTTTAAGGTATCCTTGTGAAAAAAGATTGGTTCCTGTGTCGTTTTGGTTGCCTAAATAAATGGAAGCGAATTTTCTTAGGGTGGAAAATTTAGGCCGGATAGTAACATCTATTTCATGATCGATCATAAGCATTTATATCCAATACGTAAATGGAAGACTAATAGATAACTACTTTTCATCCGCCCAGCATGTCTGACGGTTTTAATGCTTTTTGAATCGATTTCTTCGTTCAAAGCATCAAGTCCTGAGGGCAAAGGCCTTGCAATATTTTTGATCGAGAGCCCTCTTTGTATTTGAGGTTACTTTTAAGATAAGTATTTCACCCCAATTTAACATAAACTAGAAAATTCAAACTGAATTGATCATTAAAAAAATTAAGCTATGGTGGTCCTTAAATTAAGTTTAAAACCTCTGATGGATCACCACCAACCACTGCATATGCATTTTAACTCAATTACATAGGTGAGAGCAAAGTACTGAGCTAGATCATTTAAAGTTTTCTTTCTCGGTGATTTAGGTCGCCCAACTCGAAAGCAGATGGTCCTCTATATAGATGAAGCTGCATGTATATTTGGAATATTCATTACACAATAGCTATCTATTTGTAGAAATTAGAGAAATGATATTTGAAGGTTTTGACCCGAGCTACATATATAGAAGATTTTCTCTGTACATCCAGAACATTGCAGAGGCCTTCCTAAGGGGACTTTGATGTCTCCTTGTCGCTCGTTTACCTACACTCCTGTCACCTATTTGGTTAGGAACAAATGTCGCTGTCGCTTTTTCGCTAGAATAAAAATGTCGCTGTCGCACTAATTTTGGTAATACAGTAATTTCTGACTGTGCCAACGCCCGTTAGTGTTTTCCTTTTGTCATAAGATCCACCACACATTAATTTCTTTTAACCTCGAAGTGGAAGTAAAAACTACAGAGGCCACTTCAAGGCTTCGTATTTGTGTTTTATGGTCGATCGGTGGCCTAGCTCCCACACTCGAGTACTTATTTCACATAAAAACGTTATATCAGGTTTGAGTAAGGAGTTCAAACAAGGGGCGATCCAAACGTCCCGCCATTGTCGTATGGCGGTCAACTGATCAGGTAATGCTGCCAAGTTGTGTTGACGGGCCTGCGCGACTCCTGCCATTCGCAAGCGATTTAAAGTATTTTTTCCTCAGAATTTAAATAGCTCAGACCAGATTATCTTTTAAATACTTTCCTTACTAAGGAAAGTAATGTAATAAAGTAATATGGCCTGTTGCTCGTTAGGGTGGATGGTTTCGAATAAGGTGCTGTTTCTCCATCAGTGTTTTCGAGGTAAGTCAAAAAAGAGTGTAGCTAAAAAAAGAAGTTAAAAAGTGGTGACGGGCCTACGCGACACCTGCCATTCGCAAGCAATTTTGAATCTTTCACCTTCAGACAAATAAGTTTCTCTGACCAAAATATTTTTGCAGAACCGTAGACAAGTTTTAGCGCAAGGGGGTGCCTTTGAGGGCCTAATGCGCGAATTGAT